TACTTAGCACATAGATTTTTAACTACATAGACAATATACACTCACATACACACATTGATTAGGATTGCTTTTACCTTCTTGAGGTCACTTGTGGACAAAGGAGGAAGTTTACACCTAATAATCAAGACGTTCAGCAGCACCCATATTGCTTTTGTGTCTCTCTGTGTGTGTGTTTAAATGCAATTAACATTTTTTTGTGTTTTTTATTTTATTCAAATAAGAATAGACTATATGATTATAGATACACTTACAAAAAAATTAAAAATAACATGCATTTGCACGTTTGATTATGAACAGTTTACTTGAAATGTAGTGTAACTTTCATTGACTAATATATTCCAAAATTATCCCATTCAATTGAACCCTAATACTTACCTCCACTCACCTGTATATGTATATGCCATCTCTCCCTCACTATGTTTAAGAACGTGGAAATCCTTGTGCATTCACAGCGATATTACTTTTTATTCTGTCAATTATATTTTCAGTTCGAATTTCTGTATTGGAGTATTGCTCATAGATTCTAAATACATGAATCCTGTTCCTACTTTTAAATGAAGAATTTTGCATTGCTAAAAAATAACTCAAAATTGTGTAACCATATGATTATTGTATATTGTAAATCATAATCATCATGTGGTTCACAATTTTTTTAATTTTTGATACACCGATTTAACACCTGTTCAATAAAATATACGTCGTTTCAACTTTAAGAAAGTTAGTGTTATACTATTATTATAATAATAATAATTATACCAATTAAAAAAAGCCCATAATTTTTAGTGAATGTTTACCAATCCACTTAATTGTAACTAATAAGCAAGCATTCAGTAAACATATAAAATTAAGGCAGTGGAAATCCCACTTCTAATAAATAATTTAAATTAGAGTGAGGTTACGTTAAGTAACTTTAAATTAGAGGCATACAAATAAAATAAAGTAAATGTATAATCTTATTATCATTTCTTTATATGTAACACGTTCTAATATTCATTATAAGATTACTACTTGAAGATATTACCAACTTATGCTAATTTTTTTCCCTCTTACAATAGTTTTAAACTGAATTGTCAAAATTGTTGAAAACGTAAAAAAATTGGGTTTTGATGTGTCAACTGACACCCCGACATACAGTAGGATTTTTCTTTTTTTGGATATGGACCCCCTATTACGAGCGGGTGTGATGTACAAATAGCGAAATCCAAAAAAATTAGACTACTTTAATAGATAAACATTTTATAATAGAAGTCCACAACCTATTATAAAATTGGACCACTTTAATAGATTAACCTTGTATATCAATCACGTGGATTCCGAAGTGTGTGGGTGGGTGGCGCATACTTGTGTGTTTAATGCAAATTTTTGTATAGTTTTTTTTTCTTGAAATATATTTTAAATTAATCAATTGAATAAATTGATTTCCGTACAAGGGAAAGTCTTTTCTAAAATGAATTTTGCTACATGTACATCATTTTTTACATTATTCCATAAGACGATATACTATTGGTTTCGTCCACAACTTTTTTAACTCTAATAAAATTTATAATGTTGTCAACCTCACAATGTACACTTAGCTTTATTCTTCTAAAATCTCTCTTCCAATGGCCCTGTAAGTGGGCTAAGGGCTAAGTGTTCGATGAATCTCCGACTCCTGAATGCCACTAATTATTAATTGGTGCCAATTGAATGACACCAACCGCAATAGAGGACGTCGTAGAGAATGAATTTTATGACTAGAGAAGTTTTTGAGTTTGGTTCAACTTTTCATGTATGAACACCTTTGGACATATTCTAAACTAGTCACTAAAAAAGGTTAAATCTTTTTAAAAGTAGGAAAACGTGAATAGTGAAATAAACTTTGCTTTCAACTTTATTTGTAAAGATACAGACACTAGATTACTTAAATATAGAAATAGAGAGATTTTAAAAAGTAAGATATTATATTTTTATTTTCATATTTTTTTAATAAAGGACACGACACATGACATATCGAATATTTTACCTGAAAAATGTTCCTAAAATATCCTGCAAGTTAGTAATTTTAAAAATAAAACACGTAATGTGATTTCTCGACTATATCGTGAAATTTCTGCTGTTCGTACACAATTCTCGTCTATAATATTTGTCGATATCTCCATCTTATATAACATCGCTTGTACTCTAGTACTTAAATCAATTCACGAGTGGGATTCTTTTCAATTATTTTGTCAATTAATGATTGGATTTTAGTATGCAACAAAGTAGTGATGGGAAATTATTTTAATAATTGATCCCATAATTTGGACGTATTGTTTGTGATTGAAAATATAAATAATTGAATTTTGGACTAACTTGCAATGTGTTGCATAGGAACCATTGGAGACAAGAAACCTTATCTGTCTCCAACATCATGGGCCGATGGGTGACGATGCTACAACATTTTAGTAATCAATTAAATGCCATTTGTATATATTAATGTTTGAGATATTTTTTTTTCCTTGAAAAATACATAAAAAATTAATTAAACTGAATGATTATTAGCACAAAACGTTCAAACAGTTCATTAGCACAAAACGTTTTCACCTTGCATTTTTTCTTGTATTTTCATGACCTCTATTTATACATTTCATTGAGAAAATAACCATTTTCCTCCATTTTATCAATAAAAAATTATAAAATAACGAATATATCATCTTATTTAAATAAATAAATAATTAAAGAACTAATTGTAATCACAGTTCCAAATTTTTCAAAAAATTACAAATAGGTCATAAATACATAATGAAAAATCAAAACTTAAAACACAAAAATCACTTTATCTTCTTCCATCTTCTCCACCACCCATTCCACCCCACTTTCATACCAAATCAAAACCAAAAACCACTGGTGGGCCACCGTCGACGATCGCCTCCTCCCACACAGCAATCAGCCACCATCCCAAATTCCAAGCACCTCATTTTTCATTACTTCAATTCATTGTCAACTTGAACTTGTGCTACTTTCTGAAATCAAGTTGGATTTTTTCCTCGATGTAAACATATGTTGACATATCATAGAATCAATAGTTGACTATGGCACAAAGTAATCTTTTTGCTGTCTTATATTTTGTAATTAAACGAAATCGGGCCTGAAAAGCTGGGGGGACCTTATGGAATTGGCACTTGTGCTATTGTTATTGCTAAATTGGACGGTTTTAGTTATGCACGAATGTTTGTCTTTCTTGTGTTATCATGTTTGTTGGATTCCCTTTACATGGAATGACTAATTTGCCTTGAATAACTGTTTGTTTGGTCTGAGAAAGACAACCTGGAATTACTTTAGGATGTTAACTTGTAACATGCTGGTGGGTCTGCCTTCCGAACGATCTTGTCTTTAGTACAAGTGAGAGAAAAAAAAAGGAAGGAATACTTTTATGTTAAATTTCTGTTAATATTATTACTGTTGAGTGAAGTCTTCAAAAATGAAGTCGTCCTCGAATTACGCTATCAGTACAAGGAATCTAGGTAATCAAGAGGAATGGATGGTTTTGTTAACTGCTTAAAATTCACGTTGCTGCATTTTACTGTGAAATTGGGTGGAATGGGTTGGGTTTGGGATGGGGAGAAGATGGAAGAAGATGAAGTGATTTTTGTGTTTTTAAGTTTCGATTTTTAATTATGTATTTGTGACTTAATCCTTTTTTGTATCCATTATTTTGAAAATATATTTTCTCTCTCATTTTCAATCACACATTTTTCAATAAAATAATATTACAAACAAATTTAAAACTTTTTCTTATTTTTTAACTACACATTCTATATTAAAATACTATTCTAAAATGTATTTGCAAGAAAAAATGGGGCTCAAACATACTCTTATTTGTAATTTTTTTTGAAAAATTTAGGGTTATAATTACAATTAATTCTTTTTTTATATTTAAATATGATGGTATCTTCATCATTTCGAAACTTTTTATTGAGAAATTAGATGAAAATGATGATTTTCACAATGAAAGACGTAAATAGGGTGAAAATGAAAAAATAAAAAAATAAAAAAATTGCAAGATGTGACGTTTTGGGGTTAATACTCTAAATAGTCACTAAACTTTGTCAAAAGTTCTCAGGAAGTCTCGAACTTTAAAACTTCCCTAAATAATCACTGAACTTTACAATTAGTTCCTAGAAGGTCACCGAATTTCAAAACTTCCCTATATAGTCACCGAATTTTGCCAAAATTTCTCAGGAGGTCATCGAACTTTGTAAATTGAGACCCATGCATCAATGGTTCAGTGACCCATTGGGAACTTTTTGCAAAATTGAATGACTATTTAGGAAATTTTTAGCAAAGTTCGGTGACTATTTATGAAAGTTTTGAAGTTCAGTGACCTCCTAAGAACTTTTTACAAAGTTCAGTGACTATTTAGGAAATTTTTGAAGTTCAGTGACCTCTTGAGAACTTTTGGCAAAATTCGATGATTTTTTAGGTTATTAACTCGACGTTTTGCACAATAAACTTCAAACGTAAGGAAGTTTTGTGCTAATAAACTTTAAACTAAATATTATTTGATTTTAACTTATTTTAATTATTGAGTCGAGTAATGTAGTCTAAAATCAACAGTAAATAATTAAACCCTTACCTTTGATTCATAGACTCGTGATAAACGCTAATAGGGATAACTTATTAAAATTCGAAAGTTCTATTATTATATATCTAATTTATTTATTTCTGTGCCATTACAATTAAAGCATAGATCATATAATTTAGAAGCAATATTAAAGATAATATTTAATTTCTATTTGCTTAAACTTTAGACTCGATTTAAAATAATTAAAAAAAAAACCCCATTAACGCTAACATCTTGTTCTGTTTTTTAATTTCCACTATAAATACTAACCTTAACCCATCTTTTCCTCATCATTTTACACTCACCACCACCACCACCACCACCTCCTCTTCCACCACCTCGCCACTGTACATTACATAATTATTCACAAGACAAAGTTCAGTTTGCTAATAATATAGAGAATATATCCATACAGTCAATGGAGACACCTGCAACAGCACCTTCCATTTCTCCTGTGGATCACTCATCTTGGCACTCACCAGAGACTTACCTCTTCGGAGGACTAGGTGCTCTCTTAGGACTCATTCTTTTGGTTATCTTTATCCTGTCATGCACCTATTTGAAGTTCATTGACTACCTTGAAAATCGCCGTAATTGTGGCGGCCGTGGCTCTGCCTCCGGTGCCCTTGAGTTAGCACAACCAGTGCTTGAAGAGAAGTATCTTGTGATCATGGCTGGCGAAGACAAGCCAACGTTCTTGGCCACCCCTATTTCCAGTAGAGCATCATAATTTGGAAGTGAGAGAACTTGTAGTTGTAGCACTAGTAGTAAGAATAGTGACGCATCCGAGGAAGAGAGTTCCAAGAAGAAACAAGAGCGTTGGATGTGAGGAGCTTAATTGTACTCTACTTTTTTCTTGGACTAGCGATCAACCTAATGTTTCTCATGGATATTAAGGCAAGCCGTTTTTGTGCACAGAGACAACATAGAGGCTCAAATCGATAACTGGTTGTAATCCGCTCCTTCGTCCTTACAATGTAATAATGTAGCGACAAGTAGATGTAACTATTGCATTGAGAGTGAACTAATCTATGAAAAGAAATGGAGAATACATAGCTAGGACCATGCGGCAGCAGATCATGTCCGTTGACAATTTGACATCCTTTTCTTTTGATGGCCCTTTCGATGGAAATTTATGAACATCAGAGGACACCATACAACATCATAGAACAAATCTTGGAGCAAAATACAAGATTTCTTTCAAGGCTTGGGTGATTTGAAGATTAAGGTGGTCTTGTCCAAGATCATTGAAAATATTTAAGATTAAAGTTTGTACCCAATTTTTCTTCCAAATTATGAACTATTCAAGTTCCTTGTATTTTTGCAATCAAATTATGGTAGGCTGAACCTTTAGTTGTTAGGATTTATGGTGAAACCTTGTTAACTCTTTAATCCAATAATTGCCCATTTTTTAGTTTTAATTCTTGTTTTGATTGATTGTTTGTTACTCATTTGATTTTCATCCTATTATATAACTAATTTTTTGGATTGTTTTGGGATTCGTGTTGAGATCGAGAGGTAATACATGTTTATAGATTAAATAATAAACAATATTAAGTAAGCGATAGAGATATACCTATATGTATACTGCAATTTCGATTGATATTCTAGTTTTATCTTTCATTTGTATGTATTCAAATCCTCCATACAAATATGATATAGCACATAAAGAATATCGATTGTCAACATAAAACAAGAATTGACTATTAACGGATAATTAAAGATTAAAATAGGTTAACAATGATCGATTCAGAATCCTAAGTACCTTTCGTAGTTAGGTTTCACACCATCCAGTTTTACGGATACATCTTAGAGTTTCGAAAACATCACAATATAAATATTCTTTGTACACAATAATATATGGAGTTCATTACACACTAGTGACAATTTTCTCAGTCTTAGTAAAATCTTATGATCGATTGATGTCGTGTCGTATCTCTCAATCAAATGAATATGTATCTATATATCTATATATTTCCATGCATAAGTACACATACTTTTTTGTACTGATATATATATATTTTTTTTTGTAAGATATGTTGAATCAATAAATATTGGTAATAATGAGACTTCCTAGTGAAGGAAGCTCTTCCCTCAAATCATATTCCAAGTGTGGGCGAACGGCTACGTGTTCAATTAATCTCTAAATACTAAGTGCCACTATTAATTAGTGCTAATTTGATGGCACCAACTGTAGGCAACAAAATCGTAGTAGAGAGGGAAGTCAAAATTAAAGACGAGCTTTTTGAGTTTGGTACAACTTTATAAATACAATTCGAGGTTTTTTACTTTTATATGGTATTCTCTTAATCATATCGTAAAAAAGTATTTTCAAAATGATTGAACATAGAAAGCGAGAGGCTAAAAAAAACTTGACTTTTTTGTAATCCAGCACCACATTGTCATCCATAAATCTTCATCTAATTCAGTAGTGGGATTTGTTTCAATTCATTTGTCAATTAATGATTGGATTTTAGAGTGCAATCAAGTAGTGGCTTACGAAATTGTTTTAATCATCAATCTCATAATTTGGATGTATAGATTGGGATTGGAAATAGGGTATGTATAATTGTTGGACTAACTCCCAATTTGTTCCGTGGGAGCCACTG